AACTAAAAGCAGCACTGTTGTCTTTATTATGTAACTCCTTCATGCTTCTGTGCTCAATTTCACAAACTAATCTGTAAACTTCTTGGTGTCAGAGATAAGGCCTATTGTCCCCAGTGACTTCATACTGTGACTTGCTCACAGCAAGGCTCAGTAAATATATATTAAAGATCTTGGGAGAAAAAGGGATCACTATAATGATTATTTGAATCCTCTCTGTCAGTGAACAGTGGAAATCCCAGTAATGTCAGGAAAAAATGTGACCTCAAGATTAAATAGGAAATAAGAGAAAAATATTCCTTTACTATAATAATAACTGTTCTCATTGTTATTACCATTTATTGTATGCTTACATTGTGTAGGGTCCCTGGATAGTGCAAATAGTTGGACTACTTACTCAAAGGTTGGTGGTTTGCACCTGTAAGGACATTCCTCAGAAGAAAGTCCAGCAATCTGCTTCCTATAGGTCACAACCATGAAAACTCCACAGAGCGCAGTTACACTCTGATACACAAGGGATCATGATGAGTCAGAATTGATGTGATGGCAACTGGCACTATGTCAGGCCCTTTATTTACATTATCTCATTGAATCCTCAAAATTATCCCATCCTTCACTGTAGGTGTGGTATTATCCCATCCTTCACTGTAGGTGTGGTTTTTCTATTACTAAAAGATGAAAAATTGGGGTTCAAAGGTGACTTGCTCAGAGGTATATAGTGAATGTGGATTTTTGGATGCCATCATTTATGTGAAAATAGCCTCCACTCGCCAAAAGAAAATCACTCAAGCAAATATCTGGGATAGATCAAGATTAGTGAAAAAGAAAGTCAGTATAGCATGAGTCTGTATAGAACATCACTCAGCAGAGGGTAGCAAACTGTGGATCTCAATCTAGGGGATTTTCTTCCTTTTTGAGTAGGTCAGTGGCTAGGACTTTATAATAGACCATGCCATCCATAAAATAGCCCTTGTTTTCAAAGTGAGCCATTAGTGTAGTAATTTTTCCTTTGAAATGCAAAATAATCCTTCATAAGGGATGGAAAATTCTGAGACTTCAATCCCCGTTATTTGTGTGTGAAGAAGCTTAATGGCTGACAGGGCAAGGTCTGCATTAACTTCATACAGTAAGGAGCTAGACTGTTTCCTTGAAGTAGAGACTCAAGCCAGAAAGAAGGTAGAGTTTGGATCTTTCTGAGGAAAAGGAGATTAAAAATATCAGATGGCACAGCAGAGGCGCGTGGGGGTCACACCCTCCTAGATTAAAATGTGGCCACATTAACAGTGCGAAGCATTCATTATTCCTTGGCTTTTGCCTCTATATACTGATTTGGAAAATGCAACCCCTTCAAAGTTCTCCAAGTATTTCGAGAAGTGAAAGATGTGACAGTTCATGTTCACAAAAATTCTTCCAGCTTCCAGCTTGTGAAGGCCTCCCATGACTGGCCAGAGTACCACTAGTTGACCCTCTTCCCACTGCTACTCTAGACAGTGCTACTGTCAAGTCCCAGGAATTGTTGCTGTGGACTGCACTCTCTAGACTCCACAAAAGGCAGAAAGAACCACGTGCTGTTTCATACAGAAGGGAGAATGTCTCTTTCTTGCATGCTGTATTTAGTCATATGAGTATCAAAGCTTCATTGCCTTTTAGCCCAATGTAGTTAAGTACCAACGTTTTTAGGGAAAGTGGCAATTATGTTCATTTAACTGTGCATTTCACTTATGAATTTATGGTGTTTAGAGCTAAGGACAAATGTGAATGGCTGACATCATGCTGGACAGTGGATGGGCACTTCATTCCCAGGTGGAAGCAGACTTGTGAGGCAAAGCATGACTATGGGGGATCGTTGGTCTCTCCTGAAAATACATTCCTGGCAGCCCTGCCTGACTGTTCTACCAGATATGCCTAGACATATCTGTATCCAAGTAAAATTCTTTTCAAACTGTAGTCCTTGCTATACTGTGAATTAAGATGGAGAGAGAATTTTACAAGCAGAAAGAAGTGTTTCCCTTCTTAAAAAATTTCCTTAGTTAAATGGCAGGTATGGGCATTTTTTATTCATTTTGGCCACTATGGTTCTGAAGCTGGTTTGGTATGTAGAAAATTCCCCACAGGTCTTATGCTGCAGGCAGAGCCTGAGACAAAGATATGTGTACACATGATTTACTGAGGGCATGTAAGGCAGTAAGGAAAAGGAGAGACCTAGGCAAGGATGTGTTCTCACCAGGAGTCTTCAGCCTGATCCCATGGAAAGCAGGGGAGCAGGAATTTTAAGAGTTGGTCCCATCTTAAGTAAAGCAGGTCAGCCTTTTGTCTCCCTGTATCAGTCAGCTATTAGTTAATGGGCTGCTGAGTGTGTGAGTGTGCATGCATTGAGTTGGCTCTTGCGTGGCTAAGGGCAATTCTCTGGTGAGGATGGTAACTGTAAGCCATAGCAGTTAACATTGACAACAGCTTGGGATTGGAGTACCAGCCTAGGGAAAGGGATCTAGGCTATGTAAACACAGTATCTATTACAGCTCATCCTTTGTACTGTTCACAATTGTTTCTCACATTAAATCTCCTTCATATAGGCACAGCTTGTCTAAGATTCTTATTGGTCACAATTTCTGGTAACACCTTTAAGAGGATTGGTTAATGGGATGAGCTAAATCCTCTGTTGGATGTGAGAGGGTAACTGATACTCATGATCTACTTCCCCCATTACTCATTTTAGGTTCTCGTTCCCCTGGGCTTGTGAGGCCATGTTTCTATATAACCACCCTGTATGTATTTTCGCAATATGCCTTAGCACGTACTCCATGCTTTAGTGCCTTAGTTACTGGAAAAACCACAGAGTCCTAACTGCCCCCACCTCATCGATACTCTCAAACATACTCCTTAGCAACAACCAATCAGTAAATGGTAGAGAAATACCTTATCTAAAATAGTTAGAAACAACAGTTGGTGGCTTTGGCCCACCAGACAGAGCCAATCAAGTATGAACAACTAGCAACTTGGAAAATGTCAACCAATCCTGTAATTTTCTGATTGAAACTTCCTCCTTCCTGCTGTACCCCCCTATAAGAACCCCATTACCCCTGAGTTCGGGGCTCTCAATCCTGAACCACTGCGTCGGTGATGGTTGAGGGTCCAAGCTCGAGCTTGAATAAAAAACCCCTATGCTTTTGCAGTGGAATCGGCTCCTTGGTGGTTTTTGGGGATTCAAGATCTGGCGCAACAGGCTAACAAGTCTGCTGCCTGTGGAGAGTCACTGATGAGGTTGGCACCAGGTGAACGTGCCTGGTGGAATGATCCAGAGGCTCCACCCTATGAAGTCTGAGCCTCTGCTAATCATGTTCCTATCAAAATGGTTGTTGTTTTCTTGCCCATTTAGTTAAAAGTAGAGATGGTATCACTAAGAAGTGCCCTAATGGACTGCCTCAGTGCCAAAAATGATTCCTTTCTGCCCCTGTAATGTAGAAGCAGCCATACTTTTTCATTATAATCAGGATCGATTTCCTTTGCCAGTAGATAATTCCTTTTTTCCTGGCAAGAGTAGCAGCTACAGCTGTAGCTTTAAGAATAGTGTGACTCTGGCTGTGTCCCCTGGCTGAAGCATTGCCTTAAAGTTGCAGGTTGAGAAGTACAACTTCTCCAAGAGACTAATGGAATTATAGTACTTGGTTCACTCCTACTTTTACCCCTTTACCTGTTGGGGAGACAGCACCATATAATGCTCATTGGTTTAAAGTAACACTACATCCTGAACGATAGGATCTCATCTTTGTGGATTGCCACACTTGAACTGGTGTCTCAGCTGCATCTTCAAAGTCTATCTTATCACTATATTTGTGTAGTCTTAAATGTTGTAGGATTCACTTTCCTCCTGCCTTTGATATAAAATGAGTCCCTTGGGCTGAGGTGACCCATACTGCTAGATCAGACCCTTGGTGAGCCTTGAGATAGTGATTTACCTAAGGCACAAAAAGCAAGAAAGACAAATCCATATTCAGACAACATATCAATTCTAGTCAGGATAACTGGCT